ATGAAAAATGTGTGGTTAAAATATAAGAAAAAGTTTTGAATTTACATATAATATTATTTTATTGAAAAATGTGTGATTGATATGATATTAAAATACTGTTGAAAAATGTATTTTTTTTTTTCAAAGAATGAGGCTCAAACAAGGGCAAAATCAAATAACTACACGTGCAACGCATGTGCGTTCACTAGTAATCAATATACATTTGACAGCTTCATTCCATTTGATTGGATAATAAATTAAATTTATTAAAAAAATTGAAGCAAAAGATGAATATTTTTTGAGTTTTTTTCAAATAATATATTCAATGAATGCTAAGATACGGAGAAGGTAAATGGGGGTATAATGCGTATTTATAATAAATAATTTTTCAATTGATATATTTAGTGCATATTAAGTGAATTTGAAAAAATGATGATATTCGTTGAATGTTCAGTTTAAATCAAAAGGGTAAATGAAGAAACTATTATAATTGACTTCCCCAATTATTTCAATTGTTTTCAAAAATTAATTTTTATTTTATATGAACTATAAGTATCTACTTAAAATATTTTTAAAAGACTCTTTAAATATAATATGCTTTCTAGTTCTTATAATTAACATGGTAAAAGCTCTTGGCTTCTTAATTCCTACCTGCCAGTCTAGAAGTTCTAATGTTGTAACTCGAAACTGACTTGCTCGCATTGAACTTTTTCTTCCAATATGGTCTAGCCATGCAAAAGGGGAATTTCCTTTTTGTATTCTTTAGTATCAAGAGTTTCAAGAATCTTTGACATGAGAGGTTGAGGTGGGGTGGTTGGTTGTGGTGGCGTTGCCCTGATGTTTTCCGATGAAGAAATGAAGGAGATGGCGACGAGGAAGCGTTTGGGGTTGGTACTTTTTACTTTTCTTTTGTTTTTATTTTTATTGTTAATATTTAGAAAAATATAAAGTACAATTATACCATTTCTAATTTGGTCAAATTTTGACTATTTTAGTCAACTAACAGTTAAATGGATAGTTTTCATGTATTTGGACCCTATGTGCATATTTTTGAAAAGTTTGAAATTGTGGTTGGTACAAAGTGAAAGTTAAAGTAAAGACTGCAAAAATGTAAAAGGTTAGGGACTGCTGGTGCAATTTTCCCATGCTTTTATAATGCATAATGACTTTTTAGGTCGTCTACGCACTAAACCATTAAACATCCATGTGAATGACACGGAATACGTGGATTTCACCTCATATTCTCGCCCGGCCAAACACATCATCACCGTCAATTTTACTCTCTCATTGAACAAAAGTAGTGCATGCCATGCGCGGTGGGACCCACATCTGACCGTTTTATTAGAGTACCGATGTTACAATTGTTATCGTTTAGCTGGTTGCCTCGTAATTTCATCGAATTTAAAGTTGGAGTACAGCATATGATGAACACTGTACAATAATTGACATGTAGGGCATGTTTGAGAAATGCTATTTCGACATGTCCCGTTTGGCTCTTTTTTTTTTTTTTTTTTTTTTTTTTTTTTTTTACCCCGGGGTTTTTTTTTTTTTTGATAACCCAGGTGTCCCAGCTTAGCCGGACTAAATCCTGGACCTCTAGCCCCTAGCCCCTCAGTGACTAGTAGAGGTAAATCGCAGGTTGTGCCCTTGTTGGTTCCCAGGTTCCCACATGGCTTTTACTCCTTCCCCAAAGGGACCCTCCTCCATGGTTATTACATCACCAAACTGCTCCAACCCTTCCTCTGGTTATCACATCACCAAGCTACTCCAACCCGTTTGGCTCATTTTTTGTGAATGAAAATGGGGGAAAAGGTTTTTTTTTTTTTTTAAATAAGTGGTTGAAAAATAATGACAATTTTTTGATTTACGTGTAATATTATTTTATAGAAAATTGTGTGGTTGAAAATAAGAGAGAGAAAAATATAATGTAATATAATATAATATAATTTCATGGAGGCCAAATGAGGCTTAAATGTCGACTCTTCAATTTCATCTTCGACCATATGAGCTAGTGACGAGCTGAGTTGTCAATCACTCATTCATAGATGTAGTCGAACTTACTGATTCGGTCTTGTTTGGCAGATGATCATGGAGAATCATATACATTCATTTAATGGAAGGATTTCAATTGAATTTTGACGTCGACAAGTTCAAAACTATGTAAAAACACTCAGCCAAAAATTGTCAACACATGCAATATAAAGCACAAATAATTTGGTAATATTAGAGATTAAATAATATATTTTCTTCAAAAATGTAGTAAAGAGATTTATGACGCAATTGGTTTAAACTCAGTTAATATATTTTTCAAACTCTTAATGTCATACATACTAATCAGTAATTTATAAAAGTGCATTCAAACGAAAGCACGTTTTTTGTGTTTCCACCATGTCAGAAATCAAGGCGTCGAATTTGACCTCCCAAACAAGCCTTTAATCTTTCATGCTTCGTAGTGAGTCTTCTTCTAGAGAAAAGTCAATCATCAGAGGACAGGTTTGGTCAATTCCCAAGCCTCATATTCCGTGTCAGCACCTTCCCAGGCTCGGATCTTCCTGGCCTATAACTATCTTCGGCCTTTCCCTAAACGCGTCAATGCTCTTCGCGTGTTCGACAGACAGGAAATTAAAATATTTTCCGATAAGGTTTTATTCCGTGGACTCAGCACTTTGATGAATTCTTGTTTTAATTCTTTTTCTTGATTATTAATTACATTTCTTGATTTTGTGAAATGTGAAGATTATGTTGAGGGTGAAATTTCACGTTTTTTCAAGTTTGAGCACAGGAGCTGTAAACGAATTGAATTATTTAATTCTTTGAAATCGTGTCGAGTTTTGAGGTTAACAGAAACCCTCTTAGCAGTTATATGGTGATTATTGTTTTCATAGTGAAGTAACCTTAGATTAATCACTGATACATTTTAAATGAGTTAAAGAATGATAGATTAAGAGAATATTTGTTTCAATTTTAATTATGTAAACTTCGGGAGTTCAGCTAGCTGAGTTTTGCCAATTTACGGTAAATTTCTCTTAGGAGTTGATTTTTGTTTAAAAAATTATGTGCTTTCATTAAGGATACTGATGAATGGCTGAAAATGAGAGAGACATAGCTTATTCTTATTTTCGGTGCTTTTTAATTAATTGAACATCAGATTACAAGAAATTTTCAAATATAGAAGCTGAGCTGTGATTTCCTGTTAAATAATTTGCGGAGGATAGTTTTCCAGTGAGGAAGATGAATTATAAAAGTGGAAAATGATTTTGATTCCTTATTTTTTACAATAGTATTTGATTATTTTTCTAAATTTGATTTTTATATAGGATGATAAAAGAAAGTAAGGGAATATTAACGTTTTGTTTTGAATTTAATGTTTAACTTTGGGTGAACAGAATAAGAAGGGAGAATTCAATATTCGACATCGAGCGTTAAACTTATTTAGTTCTGTTACAGGTTATTTTGATTTGAAGAACAGACAACATGGCTTTAGTATCTGGAAGAAGATCGACACTTAATCCAAATGCTCCTCTTTTCATCCCAGCCTCAGTACGCCAAGTGGAAGACTTCTCGCCAGAATGGTGGAATCTGGTTACGACATCGACTTGGTTTCACAATTACTGGCTCAGCGAGCACCAGGGAGAGGATTTATTCGGCGTGAAAGATGATGGCAATGATGTAGCTAAATTGCTCCCTGATAACATTGACCTTGTTGTGGACGATGATACATTGTACATGGAAGCCCAGTTCGAGGAATTTCTTAAATCATCCGAGCCTGAGAATGGAAGCAAGGCAGTCGAGGGAAAACCTGAAAATGGTATGGTCCTTTTTTCTGATTTTGATTGATAATGTATTTGCCCTTTTCTCTTGTTTGTGTCGTGCAAATTGGGACATAGTGCATTTGGCTTGGGTGATTAGTGTTTTTAATTGATTCAAGAATTTAAACAGCACGAATCAATCGGCCAGAGCATAATGTTAACTTGCCAATTCCTCTGCGTGAAAGGGGAATTGACTGTGATCATGAATTATGTTCAGTTTTATAGATGCCTATACCGTCATGTCTGCAGAGTTTGTTTGATCTT